AGATCAGGGATTGTCGGAGACTGTGTGGTAATTAAGAGGTTGGCTCCTGAGAACTTTTGGGGATTCAAAAAAATTTTCTATTTCTGTTGTGATGGTTACATGAAAGTATACACGGGTCCAGTTCATAGGTATGAAAACCTCAGGAGGATGAATTTTATGGAAATAAATTTGCTTCAACGAACTGACTTTCAAAACGATGCATCCAAAGCATGAAAGCAAATAACTCACCTTTTTAAATGACACTTCAAGTCATGCCATATTCAATATAGTGCTTTCAAACATTCCCCTAAATAGAAAGATAAATATTCAAAAAGCCTTTTGCTGTTTTATAGCAAAAGACAAATACTATCGGGAGAAGAGTCGAAACAGCGCACAGAAACCAACCGGGTGACCAACTAAAAAGTCTTTCCATGTCAAGTCCACTGACAGACACCTAAGAGATATTGCTGGACACATGAAGAATCCAGCATTGGACCAAATTATGTAGCGCTGACGTTTGTTACTTAGTTGAATGAAAGAACAGCAGTTGTTCCTAACATCTTCCAGCTCCTGGGACTTTATAGGCTCTGTAATGAAATACATAAAGAACTTCTCTTTTTAAAAGGGCCTTAAAAGTAAAGTGTGTGGGAGAAGATATATTCACAACTAAAATGATGTTTAATAAAAGAATGATTTATGGCAAAGTAGTGGAGGGGTAACCGCTGGCGAAATGGTGGTTTTAACTCAGATGCGCGGTCTGGAGGCAGACATACAGCTCAGGAGAAAGTCACTCACTAAATAACTCTGCTTCAAGAATTTTCCATAATAAAGGAGCAGAAGGGTATGGGGCATAGCCACACAGTTACTTGTGGAACTATGAGTCTTTTGCAATATAGTTGCGTCTTTGTTATAAATGAAACTGGAAGGAAATGAAATTCTGTTGTCGCTCCCTGTTTCCCCCAAGAGATGGACTGGTTTCCCGTAATGAAACAAGAGATATTTTTCAACTTGAGGACAATTGTTCCAAATTTATTTTTCCTTTGATGATAGGGCTGTCCATAAACCTGTTCCAGCAGATTAAACACACACACCCGCCATGCATGTCTTGGAGTAGAGGAAAGGCATTTTGAAAAGGAATACTTGGAAATTTTTCTCTTGCTATACGATGCTTGCTATCCTATATTAAAAAGCTCATATCGGAACACTCAGAACATTTGAAAATGGAAATTTCCACACTGTTCAAAATTTTCAAAACAAAGAATTTCAGGGCTTAGCATTCATTAGTGAAAAAGAAGATCTAATTCACATGGAAAGGAAATTCGCTAACCAACACGGAATAGAGCTTCTCGTGTTTGTGGTGATGATTTCTGGGCGGTACCCATATCCCCCAAATCATTACATATGTACTTAAAATTATGTATGATTAAGTATACAGAGTGAATACCACGGAAAAGTTATCCCAAGAGGTACGCAGAAGGGAGAAGAGGACTCAGAACAGGGAGGGAAGAGCGCAGGCCGTGTGGATCACGCTCTCGGGGGCTGTGGCCGTGGTAGGACTCTGGGGACTGCACCAGAGGGGAGACCTCAAATACTGGAACAACGAACGATGTAAGAAAATACATAATAGATACATTTAATAAAGAAAAAGGAAATAACTGTCTGATGGAATTAACAGATGTGTCTGGCACAATGTTGGAAGCACAGTGAGGAAACTGTGTTGAACTCGGGTCACCTCCAAATGCCCAGTGGGGTCATTTTTGTGCTCAGTGGGGGTGCGTATTTCTCCGTCAGAATGCATTTCATTCAGTAAATAATTCTCCTACCTGAGTGTACATGTGGATCATCGAAGCGAATGTATCTTATATACCGCACCGCAGAGAGTGGTGCTTGTGGTTAGAGCATTTTAGTGTAAATCTCCTAAATGCCTTAGTCCAAATCTGGGCTCTGTAATCTACTCATCTGTGAAATAGTGTTGAAACAGTCTATCTGCTGTGGGTGCCAGTACCCTTATATCCAATACCGACCACCACAGTCCCCATCTCAGAGATTTGTGCTGACAATTCAAGAGTTCCTATGTATAAAGACCCTAACTCCAGCATGGATCACATGTGGACAGGGCTCCCTGTAGGTTAGTTGCAAGCTGGAGGGCCTTGAGAAAGATGATACAGATATATATGTAACTCCATATAAGGTGGGAATTTATCTATATCATATATATCACACATAATGGGGTGAATATATACTAATTTTTCACATAATTATCTTTCTGTTCTCAATGTGTTTATATATAGTTATACTGAGTAGTAGTAATATTATTTGCAATATTCAACAGTTACTTTGTGTTCTAGGCATTAGCTTAAGCACTTTATGCAGATTAATTGTTCACTTTGGGGGGAAATTCACATAGCTTGGTTGTTCCCATTTTACAGATAGAAAACTGAGGTGTAGCTGAGTTATTCACTTAGGATCTTGCAGTTAGCTTATGATCGACACAAATAGTCTGGCTGTGTAAATGACTGCAGACTGCCACATTGGTTTAATGATATTATTCAATGAGACTTCTAATCATCCTTAATATCTTTTTTTGTAGAGTGCTTTTGTTATATAAAATATCTTCATATACAGTGAGTTTCATAACTATCCTATGAAGTGAGTTAGAAAGGATTATTCTTTTTATCTTCTTATTAGCACTTTTATAGGAGAGAAAGTGGGTACCACTGAAGCCAGGGCTATCTTTCAGTGGAGGTGTTTCTACGTCACCCAAATTCTGGGTGCTTCTGTAGACAGGGACTCATTCCCCACAAATGGACTGAGTACTTACCAGGTGTTCCACTCAGACGATGGTGCTGAGAACTGGAGTGACTGTCCCCTCCAACCTCAAAGCTTCACAGCCTGGAGGGAGACACAGGTATTGAAAGCAGGCATCAGGCACACAATATGTAGTCTCGAGGGAGACGTGGAAAGAGCGCTTATGGCACACAGAAGGAGGGACCATCTGTGCCAGGGAGGCCTTGGAAAAGGCAAAGGTGGCGGGAGGGGGGAGGGGCAGGAGAGAATTCACATGTGAGTGTGAGTCCCTGGCCACAACCATGAAGCATGGGTCTGAGTGTGCACCGAGTCTGCACAGCTCACTCATGGCTCAGTTTCTGCACCTGCAGGCTGTACGTGTGCAATCAGAAAGTCTGAATGTAGAAGAGACTGGACATACACACGCATACTCTACAGTGGAACCTGGCCTGCCTGGGTTTGTCTCCTCATTTCTCCCTCTTCCTCCCTAATACCAGGGCAAGCAGAGATACCAGTTGCTTCCCACTTTTGCAGTTGCGCTGTGAGCTGCGGTGATTCGCCCCACCTGGCTCCCCAGGCCGCAGCTGAGGGTCTAACAGAGCCACCCAACAGTGCAAGGCCAGAGGTGGAGGTAGTGGTGGTGGAGGGGGTTGGGAGGGGTGAAGTATATCTGTGGGTGGGCTTCTCCTTGCACCCTTCAGCTTTGTGAATGCTCACAGTGTTGGCTACCCCCAGCCAGATTAAGCAAACCCTCCTTCTACCACCATCTTCAATACTTCGGAGAGCTGGTCCAGCACCTCTTTGGATGCATACACAGCCTCCTCAATATGGCTGGCTTCTGCCTCCACTCACTGTCCTCCGCCTTCACCTCTGTGCTGGAACTAGGCATGCCAGACTGGAAAGGGCCCATTTTTCTTGTGGAGTCACACTCTAGTCTCCCCTTCTGCAACCCATTCAGATCTAGGGATTTCCCAAAGGATGAAAAATTCGTGCAAAGGCAAACAGGACTGCTGGTGGCCATGAGAAACCCAGAGGGTCACTCCCTAGGGAGGAGGACCATCCACCCCCTCCCCTGACAATAAAACCTGCTTTTAGATCAAATTGATAAAGAAGGGAAAAAATGAGGACTCTTCTCTCCATAATGCCCCCTCCCCGGCATAAAGGGTATAAGGCTGTAACTAACCTTTACTTCTTGTAAGCTTGCACGTTCAAAAAACCCTAAAATGATTGCAAAAATATGTAATAGATGGTGACTAATGGTATTGGATACAATGGCAAAATAATTCAACTACATTTTCCCTTGTGTTATAAGGCATATGAATTCAGGGCCAGGGGGTTGTGTGAAGCAAAGGCATTGTGGCCTGGGGCTCTCTGGTGATTTGTGTGTGCTCATGAGCCTTACACACTCCACATACCAAAATATTCCATGTTGAATAAGCAAGGATGAACTGCAATAATTAGCACATGTTGTATGCCACATTTTAACAGAATGAATGAGTAGTTGGGTGGGTGAAGAGGAAACAAACATATTTGGAAAGTAGGATGGTTTCATTTTGTGGTTCTTGAAATGACAATACCTGTATTCTGTTCCCAGTTCTGACATGACTTAATCTACTGAAAGGCTTTTATCACACATTGAAAAATTAATCTAGTGTCAGGACAGCTTTCAAAAATATGAATATACTTCATCAAGTTTCGTTTCAGTGTCTTAAAATGTCAATGACCAGTAATAAATGGTAACTGTTGCATATTGAAATATATATCATTATAGCACCTTATGTGTTATATATTTCCATGCTTTGGACACAAATATTTTTCTAAAGAGTAAAGGAAGACACGGGTTTGCAATATGCCAGGAGAATGCCTCCCCCAGTCGGTATGTATGTCGCTGATTTGCTCTTAAATACTGCATCAATAATTTGAAAGAGAGAAATAGTCTGATTATGGCTAGAGACTGTTTAGAGGCTAAGGTTTCTATCATGGACTGCTTTCAACTGCTATATTTTATGGCACAGATTCAGTGGGAATCTGATCTGCTAAAATATTTGGGCTGTGAAACCTCCCACACTGTGACAGATGTCAAGTCCAATTAAGTGACTCGTGTCCAGGTTTCTGTCCAATAGGATTTCCCATTAAATATCAATTTAGGGGAAAAAAATTCCATCCCCCTTCTTAAGCCTTTATCTCTTCCACCATCTCCAGGCTGAATCAATTGGTACCAGGAGAGCCAAGAAGCCACACGCGTCTCTGTCTCTTTGCTCTGGCTCTTCATCCCGTGCTGTCTTTCTCTGCCTCCCTGTCACTGTTACTGCGAGACAGAGGTTCACTTTTCACCAACCTTTCTCCAAGCATCTCCAAGCCACTGACTAGATATATTTTGCTACAAGGTAAAGAAAGGAGGGGGTGGGGTGGGAGATAAAACCCAGCCTTGAAAGACTTTGACACTGGAAATAGGTGTCTTTATACAACATATAAGTAAAGGAGGAACCAGGAAGGAGCAACCTTTGCTCCGAGGTACAGTATTGTGTTCCTGGGAACTGGGGAGACATCAGCTGAACAAAGCCTTATCTCAAAAAAAAAAAAATCTACTTCTGAGCAAGATCGCATCTCTGCCTTGCGCTTCCCAGTTTTGCTCAGCTGCTTAGGGGAAGAGAATGCATCCTACAGGAGAGGAATCTTATCTTAAGCATCTTTCTTATTGATTCTTCCGCTATTAGAAAGTGGAGGCATCAGCCCTTTGATGTGACTGTATTTATCTCTGCATCTCTTTTGTTATTTATAGAGACCTAGAAGAGGAAAACAGGCACGAGACTTTTCAACACCTCGTTTAAAAAACAAAAACAACGAGTTCCCCGAAATGTTTGAGAACAATTAAAAGGAAAAGGCGTTTTTGATCTATCAACTAAGTGAACATCCACATCGTCCACCTCCTGAGATACTCTCGTCCCTCGCTGTGGACACCGGCGAGATGACAGCTGCTTTTTCATTTTTGAATGTAATAAATATTTGCTGCTTTTAATATATTTCGGAATTTCTCCCCGCCATTCCCTGGAATTTTAACTAAAAGATTGGAGAAAAGATTATCAGAAAGGCTTTTACAAGGTAAGGTTCCTTTAAATAATTTGTTTTCCGGCTTGCAGCCCGTTAGGTTATTCACATTGCCTTTACAGATGTATTTCAGTCGATCGTTAAAGAAATAAAATGCGCACACGACATGTTGTGTGGGGACACCGAAAGCGTAGACATCTGCCGGAGAATTTAACAAGCTCTGAGAGCAACCTGGGAACTTTTCGTGCAAACTACAACTATGTCGGGGCTATTGTGATTTTCCTTTACTCGCCTATTTATTTTCGCCCTTCCAAGTCGACTGGGTAGGTGCAAGTTGTTCTACTTCTAAATGTACGGGGAGAGCCCGTGGGGAGTCACACGTAGATCACCTGGAGCATTTGTTTTTATCTTGCCTTAGAGGTTCTGTTTTCCTCCCCGGGAAACGAAAGCCGTTTTGGAGCCAAACTCAGCCCTGAGCAAGTGCAATGCTGAGACCCGATCGCCTGTTCTTGCTTTTGTTTCCCCGGGAGCAAAGCCCCGCCGCGTCGCGGGCGCGGGTCTCTCCCGCGCTCGGGGCGCGGGTGCTGCACGCGCGGGGTCGGGGTGGCGCCCAGCTCCGGCAGGTGCCTTTCCCGCGGCGGGTCCGTTTCTGCAAATGCGCGTGGCTCGGAGCCCAGCGGCTGCCCCTTGCTCGGAGGCGCGCGGGTCGCGGCCGGTCCGGGTGCCCGGGAGCAGCCGGGTTCGGAGGCCTTACCGGGGCGCGCGGTGAGCGGGGTGCTTAGGGCCGAAGTTGGGCGGCGATCAGGGGCCGGGGCCAGCTGCGGGCTCCCGACCGCGGGTCCCCACGCCCCGGAACTTTGCGGGCATCGCGGCAGCTCGGGTCGAGACGGCGCGTCGGCGGCCGCCTGCAGGGC